ATGAGGCTTGGAGCAACCTGGTCTATGGAAGGTGTCCCTGCCCATGGCAGGGGGGTTGGAACTAGATGGTCTTTAAGGTCCCTTCCAACCCAAACAATTCTGTGATTCTATGATTCTACAACTCTGTGCCATGTCAAATACATGAAACTATTTTAAATAAACTTCAATTATAAAGTAACCCCAAAGTGTAGTTACTGAAGCCATGAAAACACCTACAGTTATTTTAATGCAATACACTTTCTCTGTAGATCTCTAACTCAAAATCAACTTGGTTCTTTGAAGAAAAGAAACCATCTTTACAGCAGTGCTTGTAAGAATCTTTCCCTCAAAGCAACAGTATTTAGTTATAAATGAGAACTGTTACCGTAACATGAGTCTTGGGAGAGCGTGCAAGTCCAGCAAATTAATACCCTGGAGCATTTTGCACAATATATTTGACAATTGTTAAAAAATAAAAAGACTCCTAAGCAACACACAGTGTTCTCAGCAACTTTTCCAAATAGATTTCCTGTTACTCAGAAGTTGTCAATGTTCTCATGCAGTTCCTTTATGAAGTCAGTGTCAACAGATGTGTGAAAATAGACTTGAAATCAAATGTTAAATATATACCATATGCAGAAAGAAGGCGTGGTCAGAGATGTGCATAAATGAAATAATTTGCCCTAGGTTGGTGAAGCTTCTTACCAGAAACATCACAGAAATGTTATTCAAAACAGCAAATGGAATTTCAGAAAATATTCCAAAGAAAATCAGGATTTTTTTCCAAAAGAGAAGCACAAGAAGTACAGGTCTTGAATAAGACTGAGCGAATAGGAAGTTAAAATGCATTTTCACAAGCTCAGTGTCAGAGGGCAGTATTTCCTGGACATGCCAGAGGAATGACACAGAGGAAGGTCACCACAACCCAGCAGTAATAAAACCTCCAAAGCTGCAAGATGATGAGGCTATGATAAATGGTGAAAAACCTTCGTTTTATACAGAAAACTTGGTTTTGAAACGTTTCCCTCATCTAGGTGACTGACGCTCACATGACCCAGCCCTGCACATCCAAAACGACCATCTTTTCAAGAGGTAAGCAGGTGCTGCTGGGCAGCCACTTGTCTCGTTCTAAAGAAAATACAACATAATTCCATCCTGTAAACAGAAACACAGTTCAGATGGAGAAACAAAAGCATTTCTACCAATGATCTGGAGTGTCTTTTCTACACATAGCTTGGCAAGCTTGTGATCTTGTACTTTAACACAGAACGGGTGAAGTATTAAAAAAACCCTCAATAAATATTGAAAATCTTTGCTTTGATGGCAGGTTGGGATTTATTCCAAATTACTCAAGTGCTAAAAAACTGCTTACAAGTTTAACACCCAAGCTACTTTTGAAGCACATGCATGGCTTTTGATCCAGAGTTTCTACTCGAGATTCACCTCTCCTTTCTGCACTGATTCCTGCAGCGTGGACCTACAGCAAATGCTGAAAGTCATAGAAACACAGAATCACAGGATGGTTTGGGTTGGAAGGGACCTTAAAGCCCACCCAGCCCCACATTCTGCCATGGGCAGCAATACCTTCCACTACTCCAGGTTGCTCCAAGCCTCATCCAGCCTGGCCTTGGACACTTCCAGGGCTGGGGCATCCACAGCTTCTCTGGGAACCTGTCCCAGTGCTCCCACCCTCTGCGGGAAGAATTCCTTCCTGATGTCCCATCTCCATCTCCCTCTTTCCGTTTAAACCCGTTACCCCTTGTCCTGTCACTCCCTGACCTTGGGAAAAGTCCCCCCTCCCCAGCTACCTTGTAGGCCCTTGCAGTTACAAGAGAAAGGATCAGCAAAGCCTGAATCCGTGGAATAATCCACTGATTAACATGTTCAGTATTTCAGAGCAAGACACACGTCGTCAGTAGTAACGTAATACAATTTTTCTCCTCTGCATTCTTAAACTACAAGGAGAGTCGATGAGCTGTAAACCAGTTGTTAAAGTCCTGTTCAGACCTGACCGTTGTATTTACATTTTTGATCGTTCTCCAGGCATCGTTAACAACTCAATAAAGCAGAAACAGAAGTATTTTCCTCAAACGTGTGGCATGACGTTGTTACTGTGTAAAATAAGCCAGACCTGCAGGCTCTGGCTGCACAGAGGCTTGCCAACACAAGCTATCACAAGCTCAGTGCATACGAATACACGACGAAGGTATTCCGACGTAAATGAGATGTTTGGGAATGACTGTTTAGTGAGATGAAAGCCCCAGCCTGGCAGCACCCCAAATATTCTGATCAGGAAGCACTGAATACAATATTAAGAAATTAATTATGAATATGTAGACATTATATGTAAGTGTATTTAGTTAAAAGATTCAAACCCAGAGGAAGTTATCCTCCCCCTCTACTCTGAGCTGAGGCGTCCCCTGGCGTGCTGTGTCCAGTTCTGGGCTCCTCAGCTCAAGAAGCCCAAGGAGCTACTGGAGAGGGTCCGGCTCAGGGCCACGACGAGGATGAAGGGCCTGGAGCACCTTCCCCATGCGGAACGGCTGAGAGAGCTGGGGCTGTTCAGCTGGAGAAGAGGAGGCTGAGGGGGGATCTTATCAATGACTATCAGTATCTGAAGGGTGGGTGTCAGGAGGATGGGGTCAGGCTCTTCTCAGTGGTGCCCAGTGACAGGACGAGGGGCAGTGGCCATAAACTGGAAAGCAGAAGGTTCAGCCTGACCATGAGGAAACCCTTCTTCCCTGTGAGGGTGACCGAGCACTGAAGAGGCTGCCCAGGGAGGTGGTGGAGTCTCCTTCCCTGGAGACTTCCCAAAGCCGCCTGGACTTGTTCCTGTGTGATCTACTCTAGGGGATCCTGCTCTGGCAGGGGGGTTGGACTAGATGAGCTCTAGAGGTCCCTTCCAACCCCTTCCACTCTGTGAAGCTGTGTGAATTTTGGGGGAAGATATTTTAAGCCAACCTGAATGATCTACACCAAGGTAAATTATTGAATGTCCTTTTCCAACAGAAGACAAAATGGTATTTTCATTATCTTTACAGTTGCTGCCAAGTAAATTCAAAGAGAAGCTAGCGTCAAGCCGATTTTTAATCCACTCACTTCCTATCTAGTGAGGTGCGAGTCAGCACACTTGTAGGTGAACAAGGAACGTGTTAAATATGCTGTATCTATGCCAGTCCCTGCATAAATGAGCTCTGTTTCCGTGCGGGTGGTGAAGGTAAACGTACAAAGGAATACTGTAACTACAGCAAAGCAGCTTCTTTGAGCTCAATGGCAATCTTTTTTTTTTTTTTCCCCCGGCATGAATTATTTAAGTATCAAAATTATCCTGGAAGTGATCACTTATTTCTGATTCTGGCTGCTTGACAAAGAAAACAAACCACGCCTGTGTCAAGATTCTGTTTTCTGTATCTGCCATTTTTAATTTAAAGGAGAAAACGCCGTAACATTTTGGGTTTTTAAGTTGACAGTCAATTATTAAAAAATGATCCCAACAGTTTCACTGGGCTTTACTCTGATGGATGACTAACACGGTTCCAGATTACACCGTGCAGAACTCTCAGCTGCAGTTTCTCTTTCCAAACATGCATAGTGAGTAGAACTGAACATCTCTTGATCGCTCTTCTCTAAAGATCTTGGACTGGCTAAATGCACTCATGAGAATGCTATCTGGGTGGCAACAGGAAAAACTGTCTCCATGAAAACTGTCTAGTTTCTTTTAACCTAATACCACTCAGAAGCCACCAAAAATAACAACCCTTCAGTTCTGTCATTATTTTGGAAGCAAATCCTATGCCTGGGAACATACATAGGCTGTAAGTATCCAGTTACAAAGGATCATTCAGTTAAAACTTACCCGGCTGGAAGTCTCCAGTAAAAACTGGAATGTGTTCTGTACAGCTTGGCATGTCTCTAGTTCAGTCCTGCTTAAGGTGATCATATACGTTTCCATCAAGAGCCTGTGTTGAGGGAAAGAAGTTCAGAAAATGAAGAAAAGCAGTATGTACTTCTGTATAGGATTCATTAGTATCCATGTTTAGATGTTTAAGATGTTCATACATTTTTTTAAACACATATTCCCTTATAATTATTTGCCTGGATGGTGGCAGGTGGATGTCTTTCATTTTTGGGGAGGGATGACAGTGCTTTATTTCCATTAGATGGCACCCCAGAGCACCGTAACAGCATCACCTGAGAGTAAATGGTTGCCATCCAGTTGTGTAATACAGCCACAGCAGAGCAGTGAGGTCAGGTTTGAATAAGGGAATACGCTCAGGGAGATGTCATTTATGTCAAGAAGGGGACTTTGTAGGTGCAAGGGTAGGGGGTTTCCACCAGCCAGGTCACCGTACCGCACTCCCAACGATGTTACCAAAACACCAAACATCTGCACGTTCCAGACACCCGTCTATCTCCTTATTAAAAGCTGCTCATCAGTAGCTGCCATTTCACATAAGCACAACATCTCTCTTTTGGGCAGAGAAATACCAAATATATAACAAAAATGTATCATAAACTTAATAGTTACCCGAGGATGACATCACAGTTTCAACTCAAAAGCCCTTTTGTAACCAAAGCTGTAACATCCCCTCGCACGGCCTCGGTTACACATGGGTGTAATGAGAGTTCTGTATTAAACATGTACCACTGTCACAGTGACTGACAACTTCATTTAAATATTTGACTCCAGATATATTTAAATACATATTATAGACTTATATATGTTATACATAATACGTTACACACTATACATTGAATATTATATAGTATACAGTATATAAATACACAATATACAATGTATAATGTAACATATTTTCTATTGTTTGATACATATAGATATATGATACATATTTAAATATGCCAAATTTCACAGATATTCATTGAGCAACCTGGTCTAGTGGAAGGTGTCCGGGCCCGTGGCAGGGGGTTGGAACTAGATGGTCTTTAAGGTCCCTTCCAACCCAAACCTTTCTGTGATTCTATGATTCTATGATTTAAATAATACCTTCACTGAAACAGTACATACCAGATTTCAATGTATTCAAGAATGTATTTCTGTATAAAATTCCATTTGATTACTTAAATAATCCTGAAAAGTCGGGAGCGGGGGGGAAAGGTGAAACCGTGCACACCTTAAGACACAGTTTCTGCCCCAGTAAAGTCAAACCCAACGTTTAAAACGAGAGGAACAGACACATGTGAAGAGGACACCGGACAGAGGTTAAGTTTCACCCACCATTGGCGCACGGCTACAGCAACCGCCAGATGAAATTAAACTTACAGAGACCCGTGGTGAGATGCTTCGAGGAAAATAATAAAATGGTGCGACTGGAATTCTGGTGTCCAAAACTGTACATCCAGAATTCACTTTATTCTACGTTGCTTTCTTCATCCTCCGCTTACCAAGTGTCAAGTAATTCCTCGCACATGCTGATTTTCTCCTTCCACCGTTGAGGATAACCAGCCTCAAACTCGGTGGTGCAGAACTACAGCCACCCCACAATGAACAAGCAGGAGGCCACACCAAGCCAGCAGCAAACCTGGGAATTTCTTTCAAGGCACCACAGCGTAGCCGGCTCACTCAGCCATGCTGCCTGCTACCCCATCACAGACCGGTCTGGAGGGGCCAGCAGCCAGGGCACCTCTGGAAGCCCCCAGCCACGGGAAAGCTCTTTTAGGCGAAGGAAGATGCAGCGTATGGTCAGGGAAGAGCTACAGGTTGATGTCTCCAGGCTCTTACAAGCAAGGTCAGCGTCCCCTGACCTTAACAGCCGTTAAGCGTAAAAATATTCTTATTAATTACATAATATGAGCTTATGGCTGGGATGTTCATTTGTCACAGATGTCAGGAAATTCCCAACCCCAAATCCAGGAAAACCTACAGCCACAAACAGGCAGCTTCAGGTCCTGTTTCTCTATAGGCACAGCTTTACTGGAACTCCGGTGAAGTTCCTCAGGGGTCGGTGTTGGGACCGGTGCTGTTTAACATCTTCGTTAGTGACATGGATGATGGTATCGAGTGCACCCTCAGCAAGTGTGACATGACACCGAGCTGTGTGGTGTGGTGACATGCTGGAGGGAAGGGATGGCATCCAGAGGGACCT